GGGTTCTTCCGTGGATTAGAATTGAGATCTACCTTATTAGAACATGGCTTCATGTAGTTGACTGTTGTCTGATTTGGTCTCTTGTGGCAACCCGGATAGCAAAATGCTGGCATGAAAGTACTGTATGTACCGGCATGCATGCATATTTATTTGCCCGATATGCCTGCACATGAACAACTTAATGTACGTGCCATCGATGTCTATATTGCTCGCACGCCATCGGGCGACTTATGGGTGGGCAAAATGGCAGCCTAATATTGTTGATATTTGAGGAGGAAACGGAGCAAAATAAAACAATAATTCTCCTGTGAAACTTGGTAAAAGACTGACTTTATTAGCGTAGAGGGAAATGTGCATACTTCTGCGAATAGCATTAAGAAATGTCAAGAGATGGCGCAGCATATATCGATTCTTAATATTTTTAGATATGCGATTTCTACACTCCCACTTATCTAAACAATATTCTTCCCTAAGCCTAATTCACCTACAAATTTTAAATGTTTTGGTAAGCAAAGTACTTTGGTCAACACATCTGCTAGCATTTCATCCGTGAGTAAATATTTCAGGTCAACCAATTCATTTGAAACAGCTTCTCGGATAAAATGGTAGCGTATGTCTTTGTGCTTGGTTCTTTTATGGCATATAGAGATCGTAGCCAACTTTTGAGCACTTTGGTTGTCATTAGAGATGCTAGTACACTTAAAATTACCTAACAAATCTGACAATGCATTTCTAAAGTAAATGGCTTTTTTCGAAGCCTCGGTGATAGCCATGTACTCAGCTTCCATACTGCTCAAGACCACAGTTGTTTGTTTTTTACGTTCCCATGAAACAGCGCCTCCTGCTAATTTAAAAACGAAGCCGGTATATGACCTCCTGTCACAAACATTGCTTGCAAAATCGGAATCAACAAAACCCATTAAATCTAAGTCATTGTTCTTATATTGTAAACATAAAGATTTTGTACCTTTCAGATACCTCAGGATTCTCTTAGCACTTTTCCAATGTGATTCCGTATAACAATTGTTAAACTGGCTAAGAAAATTTACAGCAAAGGTAATGTCTGGTCTTGTCAACACTGACAAATACATCAAACTACCTAACAGCTGTTGATAAGGCAGATCATTTCTACAAACATCGGTATCTATCTCATCAAAGCATACATTTTTGTCCATAGGCGTGCCTACAGACTTACACTCGCTCATGTTAAACCTATGCAGTACACGATTTATATACTGTTCTTGATCTAACTGAAATTTATTTGTATCTTTGTCTATTCTACTTCTCATGTCCAAACAATGTTTCAGTTCGCCCAAATATTTCATTTTAAACCTTGCAGCTAGCTGCTGCTTTAAAAAAACTGACTCTTGTACAGAATTAGAAAAGATGAAAAAATCGTCTACATATAAGGCAATTATGATTATAAAACTGTCCTAGCGTTTAATAAAGATACAAGACTCATGATCGCTCCTTTTACAGTTTAAACTAACACATTTTCAACTTCTTCATACCAGACGCGAGAGGACTGCTTCAAGCCATAGACAACTCTGTTCAGCTTCAAAATTTTGTTTTGGTTGCTAGCGGCTCCAGTGTCAAAGCCCTCTGGCATTTCCATTAACACGGTTTTCTTCAGTTTTCCGTTTAAAAAAGCTGTGACAACGTCCAAATGGTAAACATTCAATTTGAGTTGCACAGACAATGCCAAAAGTAATCTTAACGTTAAATGCTTAACGACTGGGGAAAAAGTTTCATCGAAATCTATACCTGGCCTCTGGCTAAAACCCTTAGCAACCAACCTTGCCCTATAAGTTACATCGCCATCATTATTGTATTTCTTTTTTAAAACCCACTGGCACTTCACTGTTGACTGACCTTCCGGAAGGTCCGCTAGGTCCCATGCATGATTTTCACTGAAATTTTTCATTTCATCTGTCATGGCACTTATCCACTTATTTCGGTTCGGTCCTGCAAGAACTTCTGCCACTGAGCTTGGGTCTCCTGAAACTGGATTTTCTTCAGAATTCACTGCTTCTCCTGAGGCAAAAAAATGTTACAAAGTCATCGAAGTTTTTGGTTTTCTTTTCTCTTTGAGATCTCCTCACATTTTCAGGAAGACTGACACTTTCTGCATCCTCAGAGACATAGGTTTTATCACTGAGCTCCCCTTCAGAAAATACTAGTTTATCTGAACTCTGCTCCGAAGGTTCTGAGTTTAAATCTTCATTTGTCGAGTGAACTTCCCGGTTTTTGCTTGAATCATGCTCATTTGTATTTTCTTCTACATAGAAATGCACATTGTCACTGTTTCTTTCTTTTTCCATAACGTGTACATCTCTACTTGTAGAGATCTCGCCTGTTATCGCATTGTAAAGTCTATAGCCCTTTGTGGTTTCAGAGAAACCAATTAGAATTAACTTTCCAGACTTCTTGTCCCACTTCCTTCGTTTTTCTTTCGGAATGTGAGTCATTGCTGTACTACCAAAAATTCGTACATGACTTAAATCTGGCCTTCGGTCAAAAAATATTTCATAGGGTTTTTTTGGAATATTAGACACTACAGACCTGTTTCTTAGGTAGCAAGCTGTGTTTACAGCTTCAGCCCAGAAGCGTTTTTCTAAACCTGCTACGTACAGTAAGCACCTAGCTTTCTCTACCAAAGATCTACTTAACCTTCCCGAGCGTCCATTTTGTTCAGGGGTGTACGGGTTATATGTTTCATGAATTATACCCTGTTTTCTTAAATAGCTTTCAAAGTCTGCACTAATGTACTCACCCCTATTATCTGAGCGTAGCATTTTGATTTTTCTCCTAACTGGTTTCTCGATTAATTCTTGAAAGTCTTTGAATTTTTCGAAAGTTTCCGCTTTTGTTTTGACGAAGTATACAAAAGACATCCGACTGAAATCATCTTGAAACTCCACATAGTACTTTGAGCCTCCGATGTCTGCATGGGTCCCGCTAGATCCGTGTGTACTACATCAAGTAATCCAGTTGCCCTAGTGCTTGAATGTCCGAAGAGTTTCCGGGCTTGCTTTCCTTCACAGCAGACTTCACAATTTTGTAGGTTAATTTTTAATTGGTCACTATAGTTAATTCTATCCACTAGGCCATCTCGCATCTTATTTAAATAACTGGAATTTATATGGCCTACTCTCTTGTGCCATGTCTCGCCAGTAGCTACGGTTTGTCCTGCTAATAAGCTCCTTTTGAAAGTGTCTATCTTATACACACCATCACTCAAAAAGGCTTCAGCTACCAAGACCTTGTCATTGTTAAAGATTTTACAACTCTCGTTGCCAAACTCAACCGAATTGCCCTTTTTCAAAAGCTCACTTACCGACAAATTTGTGGCCAGTTCAGAAACATACTGAGCGTTTTTGATTTCTACTTCAAAGTTTTTTTTTTGCCAATTTTAGTAATAATATCAACCTCGCCACTCGAATGCACAGCGATTTTGCTATTATTTGCAACCATAATATCGTTTACGATGGGTTCTCTTTGGTTTAATAGCCAATCCTGCCTGCACGTTTAAGTAAACATTCGTCCCTGAATCCAAATACCAATCGTTGTTGTTGAAATTAGTACTAAGAAAAACAACGTTAAAGGCACCATTTATTGGCTTATCGGTTACTTTGTTTTGTGGGCGCTTCGACATAAAATGACCTGGCTGTTTGCATTTAAAACAAGTTATTTCACCTTCGTTTTTGTTTCCCTTGTTCTGACTTTTACGTTTCTGATTGTCATTGTCAAATTTTCCGGCGAACGCACCGTATGTCGAACTACTGTCGCCATCTAGTTACATATCTAGCAACTTTGATTTAATGGAGTCGGTAGTAATGTCGATTCCGCTATGCTCTAGCCGTGGGATTGACAGATCGATTTGCTTCGATAGTGATGGCGGAATCGCATAGCGATTCATCACTATCGAAGCAAATCGATCTGTCAATTCCGCCAGAAGCAAACCTCCCACCAATGACGCGACACGTTTGAGTCCTGTCCGACCAAGTTTTTGGGAAGTCTCGATAACTTGGTTAACATATTCTGCCATTGACGAGCAATTCTCTAACGTTAATGAAATTAAGCAACGGAGAAGAGAAATTTTCCTCGTAAATCCTTTGTTTTGGAACAGATCCTTAAGTGCATCCCAAGCTTTCTTGGCCGTTTTAGCCTCCTTCACGTGCGCATATATAGAACAATCGAGAGACAACACAATCTTGGCTTTGGCTTTCGCTACTTGTACACTATCGGCTTCCGTTCCATTTATGCATTTATTTAAGCCTTCCAGTACGAGGAAATTTTCCATGGCAAACGACCATTCCTCATAATTGTCGCGGCCTTGCAACTTTGGAACACTGGCAAGATAGTTGTTGGACGCCATCTTGATACTGCCCACACGACGCGCCTATTACGGAACACACTTTTGCGATCTACGGGGTAGAAATGAGTCTATTCTTTACGGTAACAACGGAACTATAACGCATGAACTTTATTTTTGCCGACAAACGTCCTGGGCCCATAACCTGTTGATATTTGAGGAAGAAACGGAGCAAAATAAAGCACAATAGTTCTCCTGCGAAACTTGGTAAAAAACTGACTTTATTAGCGTAGAAGGAGATGTGCATACTTGGGCGAATAGTATTAAGAAATGTCAAGAGATGGCGCAGCATGTATCGATTTGTGGCGGTCATAGCATATATATATTAGAAGTTCTTCCTTCGACACGGGCCTTTGATAGCCCAGCGGTTACGCTCACCGCTCATACCATGTAGTCTCTCGGGTTCAAATCCCGCACAGGAGAGATTTTTCGGTGTCTAAGGCAGGGTCTGCCTGATAGCCTTACTGACGAGTCCACACACAGGCAGACCCGGGACGAAACACAACAAACAGGGCACACACACCATCACTCCACACCTAAGCCCAAAGTGGTGACCCCGACGTGATTATGAGGCGACATTTATTTGTTTCGCTGTTACGAACCGCCTCGATGGGGAACGGCGAAGTCAGTTTTTTTGTGGACCTGTCTCCAACCACGAGCAAGGGGTAGTGCACCGCTCCGCGTTAGGTCCAAATCGTTTATGGTAGTAACAAACTCCCTTTTGGTCCTCTCTAGACCTGAACCTAGAACGTTGCCTGGGTCGCCTGTCGCGTTGCCATTCCCTGGATGGCCCGATAACTCGGTCACACTCAAGATGTTCCAAACGGGTCATTATCTGGCTCATCTGACCGGTCAGGTCTGCTAGGTCGACGGATCGTTTGCTGGCATGTGTCTCGACTTCCCCGACGAAAGGTGCGCGGGTTCGTTCGATAGTTTTATCTGCCATCTCGGCCAACTTGTCCAGTTCGACAGTTTCAACCACCGTGAGGATTTCTTGGACGTGTTTGGGTAGACGTTGAAGCCATAGAGTCTTCAGTACCCGGTCCGGAACGCTTTTGTCTGCTAGGGCGCGCATTTCCCTTAACAGACCGGTGGGGCGTTTGTCTCCCAGCTCGAGGCCCGAGAGCAGTTTGCGAAATTGGCTTTCTTCTGACTCTGAAAGTCTTGTAATTAATTTGTCCTTAATAGTCTGATACTTATCCTGAGTTGGTGGAGTAACAATGAGGTCAGAGACCATAAGCATGGTCTGTTCGTCGAGTTGACGAACGACTGCATGGTAACGTACATCATCCGAGCGGACGTGGTAATGTTCGAAGTAACTCTCAAGTTGACAAAACCAGAGCTTCGGATTATTGCGCCAGAACGTGGGTAGCTTGGCACTGCGGAACTCGTTAGCTTGAACTTCCTGTTGTGAACTTCCTGGGGGAAGCTGTTGCGCCGTAGACGGCATGCTCGTTGCGTCCGGTTGTTTCGTGTCGTCCATGCTTGCTAGCACGTGGCGAGAGGTTATGTCGGACTATCGGCGCTCGTGGCGGTAGGAATAAAAGTCTTTTGAGAATCGCGGTTGCACACTATTATTTGCAGGGAACGTACGGATTGGATCAGTAAACGTACCGGTGCTTGCCTGGGCGATCACATCACGTCGGGGTCACCATTAAACTGACTGTAGGGGTTAACCGTATCTGGCCTGTATTCCGGTACCCACAGTCTGAGTTCGTCTTTTATAGGGTTTAAGTGAAAGGGCATACAACTCCGCACATTTTCCTTTTTCACACATTTATTCCTGACAGAAATCGCACACAGTAATAGGCGGGCTCCGCGCCGCCGGGAACTAGGAACCTTACTCGTTTTGGCGGGGGCATAAACTGAATGTCTACCAAGTTAGGCGCGCGTCGTCGCAGTCGACGCGCCATCTAGGGTGTCCCACAGATTCTTAATATTTTTAGATATGCGATTTCTACAAATATGTGAGTAGAATGGAGGATTTGAGATTTTATGTATTGTGACGATGCACCCGGTGGGCGATCGCCCCAGGGCTCCGAATGTCGAACAATAATCCTGAAATCCATTAAAATCCTTTCCGCAGGCAGTGGTATTATATTTTAATTGTATCATTTCATCCACGTCTTTTTTCAGCTCGCTCGGCGCTCAAGGCCGAGGAGGAGAGGAGTCCGAATGTCCGTCGCGCTACCTTCCGTTTTTTTTTATATAAGTTGTGTATAGCTTAGACGGCAGGACGTCCTCGCGGTGAGGCGAGTGCGGGCAAGAAGACAACATCCATCGCGGGACAAGGGCGCCCTCGAGGGACCGCAGAAAAGGACGACAACGGTGGCAAAGAGGCCTTGCCCCGCTGCTGCCCATGGGTGCCGGGGCCGCGCGGAGTAGGGCCGAACCGAGCCACCCGCGACCCCGTGCTTGACGCCAAGGGTCGACTCATGGCGGCGTCGCTGGGTCACCGCGTCCCTACGCGGATTTCCGGCCCTTCATTGATGGCGGGAGGAGGGCGCATTGCCGGTGGCCGTGGCCCCCCCCCGCCGTGATCTTTGACTCAAGGGAGTCCATAAAAGGGCGGTGAGGGGGGGTCCAAATTGCATCGCCCTCCTACGCCGAGGCCAGACCGCGGTGACCCCAGGGCGGAAGGGCCCATTGGTCCCCTCAGTTAGGAGCCGTTGCATCGAGGGATGTCGGCACCCCCGGGCAAAATCGCGAGGAATCTTTGCTCAAGGGAGCCCAGGACCGGCGCCACCGAATCCCCGAGTAGCTACGTCCCAGGACCTGCGGATGACGTCACGTGCCGGCCGCGCGGCTCGATTGGGCCGCAGAATCCTCTTCAAATCCGGCTCGCAAACCTGCGCCGCGGCTGTCATCATCCAAAATCCTAAAAATTCAGTACGTGACCGCTGTCAATTGACCGACGCAATTTGGCAGCCGACAGCGGCCAATCAACAAGGACTTCGAGCCGCCGACGAGAAGCCGTCAAGCCTTCCCGGAGGACTGTGGCGAGAACCCGGCCTTCTCGGTCCGCGAGCGTTAAGCTGGACAGACGCTGAATCCGCTGCCTTCACACCACCCCTTGCACCGCTACCTCGATGCACACCTACCTGGGGACCTTCGCCGTCGACGGTGGATTTCCATCGAGGGAGAGCCGTCGCACTCGCCGAACCAGAGGTTTGAGCGTATAGTACTTTAGTAGATTTTTGAGGTTTTTGGTAGATTTTCCGGTTTCGCGTTTTCCCTGGGTGTTCCGTCGTCGGGCCGCGCGCTACGCGGTCGGCCCTTCCGCTGTCTAATCGGCCAAAGTCTCGTGTGAGCGGCCTAGTTGTATTTTTTTGGCCGAAGTCTCGTGTGAGCAGCCTTTTCGAAGTAAAATATCTCATTGCTGCCTCTCTCCTCGGTCGGATCAAGAAGCCGTGTCGACCCGAACTCAGGGATGCTGTCTTGAGCGGTCGACACGTTAATTTCCTTTTGTTTCGCGAAGTGAGAACATCGGTTAATTTCTTTTTGTTTCCGCGAAGTGCGAACTTAAATGCCGTTTTCGCGAAGTGCGAATCTTAATTAAAGTATGTCGTTTTTCGCGAGGTACGAATTTTCAGTCAGTTATCTTTTTTGGCGTAGGGCGAACCCTCAAATACATTGTTGTCGTGAAGTGCGACCCGTTATAACCTAAATTTCCGTTTTCGCGAAAGGCGAGCCCCTCTGTAATTCCCCCTTTTCGAGCTGGATATTTCTTGTAGAACAGTGCCTGCTTTCGATTTAGCCGTCCCATGTCTAGATCGAAAAGTAAATATATGTCCGGATTTTCAACCATTGTAAATTGTTAGTTTCGTGATCCCATAAAATTTAGTTGGATCGTAATTATTTTGGAGCGAATGTAACGTATAAAAATTTAATGTGTCCGAGATCTCTTCGTTACTTGCGTCGATTATTAGCGCCGATATTTTGAAACTGCTGCCTTGCGCTTACTTTTCTTGTATTTTTTTGTGTTATTGCTGCCTTGCTCGCCGAAACCTTCAATTTATTTTGCTTGCGTACTTAATCGATTGCCCGTCTGTTCACCGTTTAAATATTTTCTTCGCGAATTTAGTCTACTGTTTCCCAATTTAATTTAGTGCCGTGTAGGTTTTTGCGTGCGTGCAATTCTCATTTTCGTGTTCTCTTTAATTGGATTAATATTCTTGTCCCGGAGTCGAGCCCAATCTTATAGTTGAAAATATAGTTTCGCGTAGTTTTTTTTTGGATTTTTGGCTGTCTAAAGCCACCGTTTCTTTTCCGTGCGCTTCGCCGCGCGCTCCGTCGCCCGGCCCGGTACCGGATTGTGGGCCCGCCCGTGGCCATTTTGGTGAAATTGTTAAAATCAATTCTTTTTTTAGTTTGAAATAAATAGGTCATTAATTTAATTCCGTCTCTGGTTCGATTTTTTTTTAAAGAACCCCGCCCTCTCCGCGGTCGCTTGGGTGTACTGACAAGGGAACATTCCCAAGTGTCCGCCTTCGATCTTGTTGAGTTTCATATATGCTGAAGAATACAAAAATCCAAGAGACACGTGTTTTTTTATATCTGCAATGGTCCACAATTAAGGGGTGAAACAACCCCCCAAACTTTAGCGAAAAATCGGTTTTTTAAGTATTTTTCGTAGGAGCAGTGGAGGGATTTCGATGAAACTTTGCATAAACGTATTCTGTAGAAGGACGGTGACAACACAATATTGTTCAGCAATGTTGCACCCCCTCAAGGGGTTGAAATACCATTCAGGCGACAATTTTTGGTAATATCCATTAAACAAGCACTCCTACTTATGTTCCACTTACGCGATGTGATTGCTCGCAAAAAAATTAAAAAATACGTGTTTTTTGCTGTTTGCCAATAAACATTTACACATCGGTTGTAAACGATGAATGTAGGTGGTATTAGGGTATATCCCGACTACCTTTATTGGGTTATATCGTGACCAATTCATCGTACATAAGTCGTGTCAACGTGGTAATTCTTCAAAATGTCATTGATTTTCATAACATGCAATTATTTATAAATAAATTAAAAAACACTTTCAGAGGCTAAAATTGTTTCGCAACGGATTCGACGATGCAGTCATTACCCGTTTCCAACTAGTAATACAATCTCCGTTGTGAAAGGATAAAATTGGATTTTCACTGTTTTTAGAAAAAAATAGAGTCAGCGATTTTCGATACCTAAGGTACGGGAATAGTACGTTGAATCAAATCATATTTGGAATCGTCTACGCCGACGTGCTTTCTTATAAAGTCTGCACTGGATTCGATGCTGATCAGTTCTGATCAGGACTTCATCCTTGTGAAATTATTTTGTCGACGTGCTACGATATATTTGTGCGTAATGATTATAAATCCTATAAACGTGATCAACCTTTTGTTAGCTACGTTTCAAACTATATATTTAATGGAGACGGAAGTTAATCGGCATGAAATACTGTACAAACGAATCTATTCAAACGATTCTTTTGGATTCTTTAATGAAGATTCAACATTGGATTTCCATGAACCTTTTCAAGCACGGGAGGTTGAGTATGTTGAAGATGAAGAAGAGTGGACTGACGAAACGGTGCCACAACCATCTTCATAGGTTTGCCAAGACACAGCGGTTAACTTCGACTATAAAAAGAGAGCAGTAGAATTCTGGAGAAGTCGAAAGTCCGGCAATCTCAAATTTGCCACCGTCCAATAACGATTTAGGAAACTTTCTGATGCTTGTGAATTAAGAAGGTGGGTCAACCAAGTGGATGATGGAGGATGTCGAAAAGAAAAATTACTGTATGTGTCTACGTTCACGCTGAACAAATTACGAAACGCTATTGACGCTGTTTTTATAGTACATGACGCAGATATCTAAAAATGTGCTCTAGAAGCATGGAGAGAACAGACAAACAACGACATGAGTTTTAAAGCATCGTCAAAATGGTTATATGGTTTCAAAAAAGTTCATTGTATTGTGTCACGAAAAATAACAAAATTTATTACAAGGAAGACATTAGAAGACGGCGCCAATTTACAAAAAGTAACTAGTGAATTTCTAGACACTGTAAGACCACTGATAGCGCAGTACAGGGCCGAAAATGTGTATAATTCCGACCAAAGTGGATTTCAGCTAGAAATTCATTCGGGACGGACATTATCATATGAAGGAAAAAAAAAAGTGGAATGTGTTGCCCAATCAATTTCGTGTGATGGACGTTTACTATCTTCGCTGTTGGTAGTGTTGAAAGAAGCAAGTGGCCAATTCGGACCGGTCGTAGAAAAAACATTGTTTCGTCCACAAAATATTTTTCCTTTGGCTTCGAAGTCTGGCAAGCTAACTTCAGGTAAAGACGCCTTGAACTGATTCCTTTAATTTATTAACTAGTATACTAATAATGATTAATGCGATTGAAAAAATTGTAGAGCATGTTAAAACGTGGTTGAAGCATGTCCTCTACCCTAACATTGGTCAACAAAGCGTTCTTCTGCTTGACTCCTGGAGCGGACACTGCAACGATACAATTGAAAAAACGAAACCTGCCGACAAAAACATTGTGGCAATGATGATACCAAAGGGAACTACTGGTCGAATCCAACCTTTAGATGTCTATGGTTTTCGAGTATGGAAAAATGTCATAAGGCGCTTTTCTGATATTGTCCTTTTACATAATTATGACGTTAACCTTCATTTACGGAATAATATCATAAAATTGCAATCACTCGTGCATAATCAATTGTCTTCTCCTAGATATAAAAGCCTGTTGCAATATGCATGGTATAAAAGTGGTTATATCGATGAAAGATTAGAAAACTTCTCGAACCCGGTTAATTTTGCCTTTGAAAGTTGTTCAGTTATGAAATGTAATGTTTGTGGTGCAGCAGCAATGATACGGTGTTCTTGGAGCAAAAAAACATTTTGTATAAAGCATTTTTTCCACGAATACCACTACTGTAATAAATATGATCAGTAATATTAAATAATCTCCTGCTTTATAGAAAGATGTAAGAAATATTCTCTTATAACTTCCTGGTGATCAATTTCAGAATTAATATTTATACGCACACACTTCTTGAATGTACCATTCTCGTACCTAAGGTATCGAATATCGCTGACTCTATTTTTTTTCTAAAAACAGTGAAAATCCAATTGTATCGTTTCACAACGGAGATTGTATTACTAGTTGGAAACGGGTGATGACTGCATCGTCGAATCCGTTGCGAAACAATTTTAGCCTCTGAAACTATTTTTTAATTTATTTATAAATAATTGCATGTTATGAAAATCAATGACATTTTGAAGAATTACCACGTTGACACGACTTATGTACGATGAATTGGTCACGATATAACCCAATAAAGGTAGGCGGGATATACCCTAATACCACCTACATTCATCGTTTACAACCGATGTGTAAATGTTTATTGGCAAACAGCAAAAAACACGTATTTTTTAATTTTTTTGCGAGCAATCACATCGCGTAAGTGGAACATAAGTAGGAGTGCTTGTTTAATGGATATTACTAAAAAATGTCGCCTGAATGGTATTTCTCCCTCTTGAGGGGGTGCAACATTACTGAACAATATTGTGTTGTCACCGTCCTTATACAGAATACGTTTATGCCACGTTTCGTCGAAATCCCTCCACTGCTCCTACGAAAAATACTTAAAAAACCGATTTTTCGCTAAAGTTTGGGGGGTTGTTTCACCCCTTAATTGTGGTCCATTGCAGATATAAAAAAACACGTCTCTTAGATTTTTGTGTTCTTCAACATATATGAAACTCAATAAGATCGGAGGCGGACACTTGGGAATGTTCCCTTGTGACCAGTCTACGAATTGCTGAAGACATATCTACTCAACGTGATTCTCTCGAGCATACCGAAGAATCTGGTTCGCGATGTAACTTCTCTAGCCAGAGTAAACCCATCGAATACTTCGAACTATTCTTTGATTCGACGCTATGGTCACTAATAGATGAAGAAGCTAATAAATATGCGGATTATTCAAGGCATTTACTTAGAGAATTGGAATCATTTGAAACAGAGATTTGGACACCAGTTACTATGTTAGAGATGAAGGCATTTATAGCAGTGCTGCTGGAAATGGGAATTACGAAAAAACCCAATATACGTTCGTATTGGTCCGAAAATTCACGTACCATACCGTGGTTCCGAAGGATATTCTATGGAAATTGATTTCAACAAATTTTGAAATATTTTCTCTTAATTGATAACTGTTGATGTTATCCACATAGTCACGAGAAATACGATCCCTATGCAAAATTTAAGGCCACTTGTTGAACACGCTAACAGAGTGGTCAAATTTCATTATGAATCACATAAAGAATTATTAATTGATGAGTCGTTAGTTGGGACACTGTCATTCTAGCATAACGCAATACTTGCCAAATAAAAAACATCATCGTTGGGGCATAAAATGTTGGATGTTGTGTGATTCAGTTTCAAAATATTGTTTGACGTTCTCTTGCTACAAAGGTGCAAAAGAAACAACTACTAGTGATAGAAAAATGTTTGGCCTTGGATATGATGTGGTAAATTTGTGGTAAATTTATTAAAAGATAGTAATTGTTTGAATAAGAGGGATCACATTTTTGTCGACAAACTTTTTTACCAGCATTGAATTAGCTAGATATATATATATATATATTCTGTGGATACCTATTTAACTGGAACCATTAGAAGAAATAAGAAATGTATTCCTGATAACTTGAAAGAAGCTAATGTAAATGAGGTAAAATATTTTCAATGAAGTATTGTTATGTTCGTATCGCGAAAAAAAAAGTGTAAAAAACCTGTATTATTAATTTCAACAAAAGCAGAAGAGCAAAATGTGACTATAACAAAAAATCGACATGGCAGAGAAATACGTTCGACAAAACCCGCTATTATTTAATCTTCCAATGCCTTCATGGGTGGTGTTGATGAATCGGATAAAATGCTGTATACTTTTCTCGATGAACGAAGATCAGTTAAATATTGGAAAAAGGTAGCCTTTAACATAATCAGCCGCATGGTTTTAAATGCATATATAATCTACAAGGAAAGAGTAAAGAGTAAAGCAATGAATCGGTTAGATTTTATTTCGAATATTATTTTTAAAATTGAGTGTAAGTGGATGAACGAAAAGAAAGCACATGGTTATGTAAAGGAAAAAACATTTGGTTTAGTAAAGTTGCCACAACGTAACTTGCGACAATGCGTAGTCTGCAGCACCAAAATGCAATAAAAAGATCACATTTAATTTGTGTGCAATGTAAAAAATGATTCATCCAATATGTTTTGATAAAACACCGATGTTACAAATGACAAGTGTTACACTTCATTTAAATTGTTTATTCATAACATAAAAATATGTTTAATTTGTAATTCGTCATTTTGTGAAATACATCTGTATTATTACATATGCGTACTGTAAGTTTAAAAATATTTCATGTTTTATTCGGTAAAAATTATTGAGAAGATAACAATGAAATACAAAATGTTTTCTTTTGTAATGTATTATTGCACTATTATTATAGTATTGTACCTATTGTAAGATGTAATATTTACATTAAAAGAAGGAGCTGTGTGATGTACTTGGGTCAATAAATCTGAGTGCGTATCTTCGACAATCGGTGACGCACCGTCAGTTGTCCACAACGCTCGAAATGTGTTGGGTTTTCTCGACATAAAATTTGAACAGCGCGATCGCACTGTTTGGGACTCAAACGGTTAAGGTGAAGTGAAACATGTCGATTAATTTGATCAACGTCGATAACGAAGATTTTTCTAAATGCCTACGTTGCCGACGTTCGTTTTTATATCGACAGCTATACCGAATTATATTGGGTATTGTACCAAACGGCATACTCCGCCTGTCGTTTTCGTACAATAATTATCAAGAAATCGAAGTAAAACTCTAGAAATCCTCTGGATTCATGCTTTCTGGGGCCCTAATTGACTGCAGAGGGNCGTGCGTGCGTGCGTGCGTGCGTGCGTGCGTGCGTGCGTGCGTGCGTGCGTGCGTGCGGGCGTGCGTGCGTGCGTGCGTGCGTGCGTGCGTGCCTTAAATACCTTGGCTATCTTGGAGTGATGTTCGTTCCTCGAATAGTGCGCGAAAGCGGATCTACGAATCCAACGTTGTAGACGAAAAGGTCGAAAATACTAAATCGAAATCGAAGCCGAAATTGTTGTGTGAAGTCGAGAAAATGAGATAGAGCCAGTTGGAGTCAATATGTGAATCTGCTCTTATGTCTACCGATCTTGTAACTCCTGATCTTATGTCTGACGATCTTGTAACTCTAACTGCCACTCGCTGCTTAAACACTAGTCTTTTATATGATTTCCACCCCCGACGCTTGAGGCCGAAAATTCGGGTAAGGGTAGAAGTCAAATTCCTATTGGAGGAATTTGGAGTGGTGGGAGTTGGAAAAATTGTTAAATGGGTAACATGAGTGGGAGTGGGATTTGGAAGGTTCTAATTGGAAGAGGAGTTGGAAAAATGGAACTTCGGGGATTGAGTGGGATTTTGGGAGTTTTGGTTGGAGGATTTGGCTTGGTGTAGGGAATCTGGGAAAAATGTTGTTAGGAGAGGGAGTTTAACGTTCTTTTCCTAGGAAGACTGAATGTTTAAAATTTGGACAGAATTTATGGCCTCGCACGTGCAAGGGTGGTGTCGGTTATCGCGGGGGTCCCGTTTCCCTATCTTCTACTTTATGACACTTCAAGTACCGGGCCCCCGCTGCCTTATTTACTATTTCTCGGGGTCGGCGGGTCGCGGGACCGAAACAGGGTGGCCCTCGGTTATTTGAGTCTAAACAAAAAATGACATTTTTACTAGTTTTTCTTAAGTGACATGGGCCTCCCGGTCTCAGTCCGATGCACGAGCCGATGCACGTGCAGGCTTTATATATGTTTTCATGGAAATATATGTGAATATATGGATATATATTGTAACTTTTCTCGCGTACCGGCCCTTTCCCCCTTGTTCGGTCGCGTCGTGTCGCGCAATCGGGCGGTCGCGAGGAAGTTATGAGATTTGCCTTTTGGCAATTACCTGGATTTCCTCTGGGCAGTCTCAGATTGGCTAGGGCTTTCAACGGCGCAGAGCCNAATTTGATCGCGATGTATTAATTCGCGACCTCGTGACCCTGCCCGTGTTGTGTGCGCGCGAGGCTCTCTCTCGACGCGCCGAGCAAGCGGTTGTTTTTATATCCCCCGCGAACCAGTTATCGCGTGAACTACCGTCGCGGGGACAAGATTCGATTCGTCTTACATAGGTGTCGCGTCGCGTACCTCCGACACGTCACAATATATTTATTCATTTATTTATTTATTTTTGCACGCGCAGGAAGTGTTACGTGGGACGTAACAGTGCCAATGAATATGGCTCGAATAAACTCGTCTGAGAGACGAACTTTAAATGATACGCGAAACTCTCAGTCCTGAGACCTTCGCGAAGGGAATGGAATCTATCATAGCCGCGAAAAAATATCGCAATTAACCCTTTCGGTAAGAGCGCCGGATATATCCGGCATCCATGTGACAGCCTGTATGCACGCGCTGTGTGCATTTTCGGAGCAGCTCCTCGTACAACGGGAGTGTCTCGGCGGACAGAGCGCTCGTATCGAAAGGGTTAAAGTGCACCGCCAGAGTTACGGAAATTCGGGGTACACGAGACAATGATGAAACTTAAAACACCTGAACAATGCAAAATATAATATTACATACCGAATTCGCGAAGATATGAAAGGTTCGCACCGTGCCGCTCGCTCCGCGTTACACGGTTACACGATGCGAAAACGGGCCGTTCGGCCCGGAGGGATAATGAAAGGAGAGAGTTACGCGCACGTAACGGTTGACGCGGACGGCCCTCTGGCCGACTCGCGACTTTTTTGCCCGTCAGTCCGCGAACTCAAGATTTCGCTAAATAGTTTTCATGAAACACTATGCTACCCGCGATACCAGAGAACTTACAAAAGGGATCAGAAGAATACGCGTGTCCTGGATTACCCAATCTAGGCCGCACAAGGAAAATCTACTTCGAGCTTTTATTTCAAATTGTACCCTGAAATTAAGAAACTCGAATCCTCGCCAATAATCGAAATTTTGAAAGTGTCAGAACAATTATTAGGCAATTAGTCATGTGTTAAAGTTCCGAAATGTTCAATCTAATGCCGTTAAAAAAAAGGGTCTTATTAGAATCGACCGATTTGAGGGGGGTTTCACATCACCTTAATAAGTTAGGGATTGTGAATATTCCTCTCAAGAAAACAGTGACTAGTGAGCAATTTGCCACTTAAATTGCAATGTATGTAAATTTGTTGCAATGAATTTACGAGAGTCAATTTTAGTCCGTGACTAAACTAACTAATCTTGGACACTCAAATTAATTTTTAATTTCGCAAAGGATACCTTAGACAATTTGGCCCAAAAAAAAGATAAATTGGACGAGTTTGTCCAAAGACACTAAAGTTTAGTGATCTACCTTAATAAATTAATTATGTAAATAGACAGAGAAGCACTAGCTTTTCCACATTAATTCTTAACAAGTTTATTAAACGGCCATACAAATTTACAATCAGGCACTATAAAAAGATGTAATGTTGGCAGAAGACGCTATAGAATTATTCCACAAGATTGGAAAAAGGCACTACAAAATTACTGGAATTATTCATTACATAATAAATAGGTATTAAGAAATTGCTGAAAGTTATATAACATAAAAGGGACATATGTTATAAAATCACTTTACACAATGCGACATAAATCCTCGCAAGAGTGTACCCCACTATATAAGAGTTAAATACTTGCAAAAATTATTGCACAATATAGGACTTAAATTCTCGTCTCTCTAGCTCCAAGGCGCTGTTATCTAGACGGACCGCGTGGTCTCGAAAGACTCTCACTTTATGAAATCGCGCCACGGGTAACGCGGACGGTCCGCCGACCGCCTCGTGGCTTCTTCGCCCTGGTGTCTCGAGCTGTAATTCGAGAAAGAAACTAACAAAGGGCGCCTTCGGGCCCCGAAAATAACGCGGTTCAAGAATACTCGGCGATAATTACTGCGAATTAGGCGGCCCGAGACTAATTATGCCTCTGCCTATTGATAACTCAGCTCGACTCAGAATCTTTATAGGAAATATGACCTGTTGGAAAACTGAACTCGAATCGGAATTTTTCCTTGAACGGGGAGATCCCCCCCCCCCCGCGGCCGTAACTCCCCATCCTCGCGCCGTGTCTAACCACAATAAAAGATGTTCAAAAATTCGGCCAAGTCGACCACACGTGACTTTTAGGCGGTATCAGTCGCCTAGTGCAACTGGAATGACTCAACAGGGGAGAGGAAACGGCGAAAAAAAATCCTAGCACGTGGACGTAAATCCGGGACTCCCCCTTTCTCCGTGGTCCGGCTCACCGGCCTTGGGCTTGCCGGCGGCTGTGCCAGTAGGTAGTTTGGGGCGGCTGACGTCGGTTTTCCCTTCGGTGGCTCGGATTCCGTTGGATAATGATCCTCAGTGAGGATTTTCTGGGAACTGGCCGCTGGCGGGGAGTCAGCACGCTTTTGGCTTGTGCCGGTGTTAGGGCTCAGAATCGATGCCCGGAGCGATCCTGTCGGGTCCGTTTGTGGGATCCATGCCAACGCGAATTTTAGTCCCTGACGAAGGTCTCCAAGATCTTGACCCCGATTTCCTTGAACCGTTCGGCGCCACTAGAGCCTCGCCGCCGTATGAGCTGCCCGGGTTTTCTCATTTGTTCTCAAGGCGCCGATTATCGAGCGATATCTCGGTCCTATTCGCGCCGGTCCCTATGCACGTGATTTGGCCGCGAGCGGGGTTCCCCGGGGACGCAGCTCACCAACGGTAAAGAAGCGGCGAAGAAGGTCTTCGCAGGTCCTTTTGGGAAACCGCTGGGACCCGACAGGCAGGCGGCTTTTATTTGCCCTGTAGGCAACAAGATGATGCTTTGGGTAGTGCCCGCTCGGCTGTGCGGTCACTATCTCTGGGTGTTACTGTCCTTGTCCCGCGGCGGTTGAGCGCCGCTTAAGCCTTGCCAGCCGGTGCCTGCGAGCTCATTCGAATTTCGGTGTAAACATACGAATAATCGAAGCGTAAATATCCCAACTTTTAACTGACAAACAACGAGGGACTAGAAATATGAATTCACATAATAATCGTAGAATTTTTTGTTATTTCAATTCTTCTGAAATAAAGGAACTCAGACGGGAAGCTTCTCTTAGAAGATACT